GTCCTTATGGTCCCTTGGTGGCCGGCCCAGCTTTATTTTCAGACGCTGCTTGATAGGTGTCCAAACCCGAGGCGTTTTCCCTCGGCTCTGCCTCTTTCGGCAGGTTGGACCGGTCCTGTACGTGACTGGTTTGGCCTTCTCCTCGGCTCTTTGCGTCTGGTATTTTGACGCGGGTATCACCATTTCTGTGATGATCAGGTGCCTTTGTTGATGGTGTCCCACCTGCGAGCTTTGTCTCGGCGACAGTATGATGTTCCTGGTGTTTCTATGCACCTTTTTCTTGCTCTTCGTAGGTTGTCTTCTCTTTCGCGTTCGGGGTGGATGTCACATCTGCCCTGTTCCGTATGCTTTCTCATGTTTTGCTTCACCTCCGGCCTGCTCATGCGTCGCCAGAGCCGTCCTGGTCCTTGATCAGGGAACCCTCTTATCTTCTCCTCAGTTTGTGGTAGGCTCCTTCGGTTCAGGTTTCTGCTCTTTGGTACTGGTGGTAGGTGTGTACGTTTGCAGCCTTTCTCTGTCCTGGCGACGGTCGAGACGGCTGCTTTCCGGAGGGGTCCTTGGGTTATTGATGCTTGATTGGTTCGGCCGGGGGTGCGTCCAGTGTTGTTCAGTTGCTCTTTTTTGCTGTTACCTGCGTACCGTGTCTGGGGATGTGCTTTTGGTTGATCAGGTTGGTTGAAGCTTAGCTTCTGAACTGATGCTAGGCAGCCGGCGCGGTAGGTCCGGGGCTCCCCCTCCCCCTCTTGTGGCGGGGAGGGCTACGCGGACGATCGTCGTGGCAGTAAAGTGTGATGTTTCCTTGTTTGCTTGTTTCCTTGGGATTGTAGGGAGTTTCTACCTCTCTGTTCGGTTTTTTGTTTTAGTTTTTTACCATGTGGAGTTTGTTTTGTTATGCCTACCTTTCTGGGTGCCTAACCCCGGTCGATGGCAGATAAGGAAAACCCCAACCACAAGGGGGTTTTCCAAGGCCATTGCTCCCTGAAACCTCTCTGAAGGGGCCAGGTTCTGGCACTGATCCCTGGCAGGTTTGAACTCCTTTGCTAATGTCCCGGTCTAACATAACATACATTAGCCCGATAAGCTCCAAGGAGCCTCCGGGGCTCACCCAGAAAATGGCATTTCATTACATTCAAAGCTGGTTTTTTCCGCACAATTACAAATACATTTCTTTTATTTTTTCTGGCTAATCCTATGTATTCTTAACAGGTTTACAATATTCAGGCAATAGAACATCCGAACTGTTCAAAGAAACTGTATAATATGTATCATAAATGTGTCCACAAACATTGTTCATATTTTCTATATTACATGTTCAGTTATTTACATTTACAACTTATTTACACACTGTACATTATCACAGACTTTCTACATGACTATCAACACTTGGAACTGCACGAGTGTGTGATAATCACTGAAGCAGTCAATGGAGCACAAGGCAACTTTGCAATCAACGCATCAAGTGCAAATAGATGTTGCTTCAGTTCCCTATGATGCATGTTCTTGCAAACAATGCAGACACGTTTACCCTTTTCCTGTGTGCCTGTGCTTGGCATATAACCAAGTTTGTGTACAGCAAGGTGATCTTTACCCCTGAGTCTGTCAGGAACTGCGTTTGGTATTGTTGCTGGCATGCCACGTGTCACAACACTGCCCTCCATCCCATATTTCATGAGTAGTTGTGACACTAGAGCAACACTGAATGTACGGATTGGTGGTCTCTTGCCAGATTTCACTAGATACGTGTTGAAACAGTTCAGCACTGCAATGTCAACGAGGTGGAAAAACAGTTTCTTAGACCACTTCACAGATTTTTGTGCGCAGTCGACGGCACCAACCATCATGTCACATTTATCTACAAACTGCATATTTGCATTGTAGTCAATGATACAATCAAGTTTATACATTGACAACCTTGTTGCAAAGTTCACTTTGCCACTGTCCTACATGTCACTGGTGTGAATAGTTGTCAACATATTCACCTCGCGTCTGTCCCTCCACCGCACGGATCAAATTTTATCACACTTTCTCAGCTGACATTCACCTACTGCAATACCAATGCCAAACTCTGGCATTTTCGTCTTGTGGACCTTGACAGTGCCACATACGCCAGTGTTGTGGTCAAGGAGGAATCTGGTCAGCAAGGTGCTGGTATAGTAGCTGTCTGTGTACAGGATATACCCCTTGTTCAGCAATGGTTCCATGAGTGTTTTCACGACACTGCCTGAAAACCCGTGTGGATCTTGACCAGGTATTTCAACGTCCATACCTGAATGCAATATCCTGTTCATGACCATAACAGTTTCACAGTCACATAACACGATGAACTTTAGTCCAAACCTGTGCCACTTTGATGGTGTATAGTGCTTTAATGCCAGTTGTCCCTTGAACAGAACTAGTGAACTGTCGCAACATTCTGTGCTGATACAAAATAGTCATGGAACTTTCTTCCCAATTCACTAAATATCTTCCACACTTTCTGCAATCTGTCATGTCTGTCTTCATTAGCATTCATTGTTTTCAACGTGAAGCACCTTAGAAGTGGCAGGAACCTATCACGTGTCATGTACCTGTTGAACAAGGGAATTGGAACAAGGCTGCCTTTGTTCCAATAATCCTGGATCATGTGTTTATCTGCATGTCTCATCATCATACAACACATACATTTCCCCAGTAGGCGTGACTTACCAACATGTTAATTGAGAGGTAGATAAAATTCCAGAGTCAATGAGTTTCAGAGCGTATCAGTTCGTGTCTGCAACGAGATGGTTCATGAATGGCTGATCGAAATATGCCATAAAATAATCAATTTCAGGCATATCTTCACCAGTATAGGAGAATAAGGGTGTCACACCAACATCGGTATCATCAAATGCTGGAATTTGTGGGACAAAATTCTCACAATCCTGCCACACAAGGTCACCCGTGTTTTTGGTTTTGGCGCCAACACCACGGCCTACACCAGCAGGAGCATCACCAGCCCTTGTGCACCATCACCATGACTCCATTGTCTTGTGCTAGAGCTGCATATGGGTATGCCAGGAGATGAGGCTATTCTGCATAGTATAGGTCTATGACGAACACCATATGTCGAGGGCGAACTGTCGTCATTGTACTCAATTGTACTCAGGCTGCTTGACACGCTGGTGCTTGCCTCGGTGAAGTGCTGGGGCAACAAAACTCCACCTAGTAACACCATAGCCACTTGCACTCGGTTCATCAACACTGCTTGTATCTGAGCCTATGTCACTGAACCAGGAAAATGACTCATCACATGTACTATCACCAAGTAGACTCACATCAAGTGACACAGATGGTGATAGTAACCCCAGTGGTGTTGACCCAGGGCAGCGCGAGATGCTGGGAGAGGCGCTTGTACTGTACACACTCTTGACATTGTCCACTGCATTCTCCTCATCACTCATGTCAGACCCCTGTGTTAGGTCTTTATCTGGGCTATAGTCTAAATCATCAGTAATGGAACCTTCTTCTAATAATATGTCCTGAATTTCATCCTCTGAGAGTTGTTTTGCAGCACCATGGACTGGGAGCTCATAAATGATGAGTCAGACATAGTTGCTACCTTAAAAAAGGAACTCCCAATGGCCATGGAGCATGATGGGATTTTTGTTCAAAATGGCTGACGATCACTGGAGGCCTCAGGCATCCATTTCGTACGTGAGTCACTGCTCGGCAGTTTTGAATCCTACACTATACTATGCCTACAAGCACCTTGAGGCGCTCTGCACACCCCTGATCTAGCGCCTCATGGCACTCTGCGCACCCCCCGATCTAGCACCTGATGGTGGTCTGAGCAGTGCGGTGGTTAAGTATGCCACTTGTGAGCCAGGGGTTGTTTAATCTTTTGGCAGTTACTCTCTTGATGAGGAGAGGACAGTGTGTGTTAACTTGTTTTGGAGAGGAAGATGTCTGCTAATGAACTTGTTTTCTGTGTATCAGTGAATTCAGATTCCCAGTTTATATTGTGAAGTTCATTTATGAGATTGCCTATTGCTGCTTTGGAGTGTAGGCTGAAGGTAAGTTTCTTGGTATCTGAAGGTGTTATGTTCATGTTTGCTATAAGGAAGGTAGGATAGTAGTCTGTTGTTCTGTCAGTGATTATGCTAGAGACAAGGAAGGGGGGGGGTGGCTATTATGTTAGTTTATATATGGTCCAAGGTTGTAGCGGATGTTTTGAGTGATTCGGGTGGGCTTGGTGATCATGGGGATTACCATACAGGAGTTCATGCTGTTTAGGAGGTATTTGACTTGGAGGTTATTTTGTTGACTTGGGGCTATTTAGTTACAGTATTTAGTGTAATTGTTCTATAAGTTGAAATACAGTATATATTTTTCCCAACTAATGAACATCAACCTCGATGGGTTATACAAATTTGTAAGTTTATGTGTGGGAGTAGCTTTCTTGTTGCAACTTAACAATGTGCTGTATGTTTAATGCAAATTTACTTAGAGTTATTTAATAACCACAATTTTATAATTATTTAATATCCACAATTTTATAGTTATTTAATAACCACAATTTTATAGTTACTCGTATTTAATAACCATTTTATAGTTATTTAATAACCACAATTTTATAGTTACTCGTATTTAATAACCATTTTATAGTTATTTAATAACCACAATTTTATAGTTATTTAATAACCACAATTTTATAGTTACTCGTATTTAATAACCACAATTTTATAGTTACTCGTATTTAATAACCACAATTTTATAGTTATTTAATAACCACAATTTTATAGCAAATGTAATTTTAATGATCTGGTAATGAGCTTTTGTGATTAACTATCGTTATGGCAACAGTTTTGTTTCAGCTTGAGTGCTAAACACGTGAGGAAGTCTGTGCGTGTTACCTTGCAATGTAGAGTATGTACTGAATTCATAAGATGTGGGTATCTGGAAAGGTTATATATTACAGTTTTCACATTTGTCAGCAATACTCATTTCTAGGCACTAATAAATGCAATTATACTTTTCAGTTCTCAGGCCTCCCCCCAGAACTGCTGCTGGACAGCAAGGTGAAAAAATATCCCTTGACACAAATTTCTTTCCTGTCACCATGAGGGACAAATCTGTTCAACTTGTCCACTATGATGTTTCACTCAAGGTTCACAAACAAGAAATTAATCTTCCTAGAAGACTTAAATTGTAAGTGATAAACCAGCTTATTCAATGTATGTATGTATGTATATATAATATATACTAGTGGGGGTATTTGGTAGTGCCCGGGTCTGTCTCATATCTTTCAGTGTATCTATCTATTAATCCACCTATTTCTCCATCTATCCTTCAATCCATATGCTGTATTTATCCATGCATTTATTTATACACCTATTCATCCATATACTCCTATATCCATCCATATACCCCCCTCCATCCATATATTTCACTTTCTATCAATCAATCTATGCTGACCAGACCACACACTAGAAGGTGAAGGGACGACGACGTTTCGGTCCATCCTGGACCATTCTCAAGTCGATTGCGACCTCGATGGACAATCGACTTGAGAATGGTCCAGGACGGACCGAAATGTCGTCGTCCCTTCACCTTCTAGTATGTGATCTGGTCAACATGCTTTAGTCCACGTTATTGTGACTCATCGCCTGCAATCAATCTATGCATCATATCCATCTATTCAAAGTACTGTTTATTGATACAACACTGAGTTAATTATAAGCAGATTAAGCATAAATATTTTGCATTTACAATATACACCAATATGTATTTATTAACAATAAATTGTGGAAATCATACTGGAAAATGAAAGGCAGCCTTTTCAAATTAGGTACTCAGCATAATAATATATTTATTTTTATTATCAGTTATGCAGAAGATGAATCACAATAATGCGGCTGAAAATATGATGACCAAACCACACATCACAAGATGGAGAAACGACAACGTTTCGGTCCGCCCTGGACCATTATCAAATTGTGTATCGTTTCTCGTCGTGGTTTCTCAATCTTCTGATGTATGATTTGGTCAGTTATATTTTTTACAAAGAAAATATATATAAACCACAGCAAGATTAATGGAAGGTTTCATGTACAGTGACACCTCGATTTACGATTGCCCCGACTTATGATTTTTTCGAGTTACGATGTAAATTTGGTCGTAAAATGTGATTCGACTTAGATTGTGTCATCGACTAACGATCTTCGTTGATACACGCTCGGGTCGACCGAGCACATGGTTCCTGGTGGCACGGGCCGACCTGCCTCAGTTTACCAGAGCTGCCCACATAGTGACAATCACACTTGTAAGAAATTCCATTATTTTGGTGATTTTTTGTTTTTTGAACATAGAAGTAATTATTATATATCATGCCATGGGTCCCAAGAAAGTCAGTGGTAAGGTTCAACATATGAAAACACATGTGAGGGTGACCATAGAGGCAGTACAGAATGTCCTTTCCTCAAAAATTAAGAAAATGTGTGCAGCATGGGAAGAACTGCAAACTTTTGCTGAAACGACTCACACAAATCAAGATGCAGTATGCCGTTGCCTTAACCTTTTCAATGACACTGTGATGCATCACTAAAGACAAATGTTAAAACGAAGGGAAAAACAAATCTCCATGGACAAATTTTTAGTGATACAAAAAAGCAGTGAACCACAACCAGGTCCTAGTGGTATGCAGGCAAAACGTAGGAGAGAGAGAGAGAGAGATTACCCCAGAGAAGTCATCACTGCCTGAAGTTATAATAGAAGGGGACTCCCCTTCCAAACAGTAACACCTCTCCTCCTCCCCTCTCATCACCATCTTCCATACACCAACAAGAGTCCTCCATAAAGGTAAGATAAACATATGTAGTATATTGTAGTTAGAGAAAAAAATTGTATACGGTATAAAATGTATTTTTAAGTTGATATTTTTGGGGGTGTGGAACGGATTAATTAAATTTCCTTTATTTCTTATGGGAAAAATTGTTTCGACTTACGATACGTCTCTGTGAATGGATTACTATCGTAAATCGAGGCCAACCTGTAGTCTCTAAAGCCATTTAGTGCAGAGTAAAAAGAAAGTTTAAACCTCTTACAGAGAGATAATATTTCAGCTTCTCCATAATTAGGTGGTATTTCATCAGGCCAGTAGTCTTTTTCAAGGACTCACATTTCACTTAGCAGTGATTTATACATACTTTTTAGGTTCAGAAGTATGAGAGCCTTTCATGGATGTTGTCGTGAACATACGGTGCTGCAAATTGTTCACAAGACTAGTAAGAAACTGTTGATAATTAATAGAGATAATTTTCTTGTTGCTTGTTATGGGAATTCCTCCAAACTTCCCCTTTTCGATTGCCTTTTGTGCTAAATAATGTGCAGAACATAAAATTGAACAAGTTGTCTTTAGATGCGAAGCATTCATGGCATCACACAATTTTCCAAGAGCATCTTCACTAGCTACATTTTCAACACATAAAGCAGCAGTGTGAGCTTTCAATAGTTTATGATCAACAATTTTTGTTCTGAGACTTCAAGCGTGTACTTCTATCTGCTCCATAATTGTATACTTGGTACATCTGCCACTCATTTGATAGTCTTAAACCCTTAGAAGTGAAAAGCATTACATTGCTTATGTTTGCACATAATTTACACCCAAGTTTATCATCCCTGAAATCTAACCATGGATAGGTTTCCTTTTTTTTCTTCCCCATTTCTTCAGTCCAAACACCTGAACAGGGATACAAATTTGACTTCAATGCACCATTACTTTCTGAATTATACATGGATCCAGTTTAAAAATTTGAACTAGAAGAAGTCAAAACAACTGTTGCCACTTTCACTGTTATCATTATCAGTCGTCTGTATGTTAGACTTCTTACACTCCTCATTTTGTTTATGAAAGAAGGAAGTCAACATTGTTTGCTTGAAAGCATAATGGGGTTGTTTGTGAGAAAAAATGCTACTGTATTAGAGAGAAATCCAGGGACCACCAGCCTCCACTTTACTAATGTCACTGAAACACAGAAGTAACACAGAGTTGCTAACTCAGTATTTCACACAATGCTAGAAGCACCCCAAAAAACATTAAATTATGTAAAGTTGTGTGTAGCAGTTTTGTCATTTTACTTGCCTAGTATTTAATACTAAAATATACTATTTTATGACTAAAAAGTACCTGTATGATGAACTTCTGCTAAGTCATGAACATTATCACTTGTATCATAAATTTGTGTCATGCCATTTGTCTGGCATAAATGGACAGGAAGCCCTTAATGTCAACTTTGGCTCAGACCATTAACGTGATGCAGTGACTGAATCTGCATCAGATTCTTGTAGAACTACATAGTTTCTCGTTTGAGGAGTCGATGTTGTGGTGGTAATATTAACAATGGCGGGGAGGGGGGGGGGGGGGGGATTGTAGAGGTGGTATTATCACATGTGTCAGGTATTATGGTTTGATTCCAGATTTGTACCAGTACAATTCAGCCTGTTTACTTTTCAAATATATATAAATTTAAATATTGAATCTTTAAAAAAACAAAGAAATATAAAAACATTATTAACTTATTAGTGTAATATTTATATTTTCCTGCCACGATCAACCATCACCTACAAACCATCCTCTCCCTCTCTCCTCATCCACTCTCCTTTTCCCCCATTCCATCATCCACTTGCAAAGGTGCCGGAGTGGCACTCTGGCGAGCTCCGGCAGCACTGCACCACTGTGGATGGCTGGATGAATGCATAACTGGCTGGCGGGCGGGCGGGCAGGCAGGCAGGATACCTGGTTGATGGGGTTCTGGGAGTTCTTCTGCTCCCCAAGCCCAGCCCGAGGCCAGGCTCGACTTGTGAGAGTTTGGTCCACCAGGCTGTTGCTTGGAGCGGCCTGCAGGCCCACATACCCACCACAGCCTGACTGATCCGGAACTTCTCTTAGAAAACAGTCCAGTTTTCTCTTGAAGATGTCCACCGTTGTTCCGGCAATATTTCTTATAGTCGCCGGGAGGACGTTAACACTATCGGTAACTTTGGACCGGACTCTCGTCCATTATTTTTCTCTTGAACCCTAACTTTAGACCGGACTTGCGTTCACTACAAAAATATTTGTAAAATATTCATTTTTTATCCAATCGACCTCGGGATAGTATCAAAATAAGCGGCTTTAGAATGCGCACAATTTGATGCCAAAATGAAAGATGTAACATGAAACTTGATGTTCTAACACTTACCTGATTATAAATAGGATTTTGGTCAAAATTTTAAAATATTTGTTAAAATTCTATTTATTGTGCTATTATGTTGGGACTAGTTTTAAAATGTGCGCCTTTACGTCACGAACAATTTGATACCAAAATGAAAGATGTAACACAAAAATTTATGTCAGAACACTGGAAAGATATAAATAATTTTGTGATGATGAGCTTCCAGAATTAAAATATTTGTTAAAATTCCAGTTATTGCTCTATTATTATGGGACTAGTTTTAAAATATGCGCCTTTTTATTGCAAACAATTTGATACCAAAATGAAAGACGTAACACGAAAATTGATGTTATTAAACTGAACGAGTATACACATTAGGTTGCAGCGTACAAATTGGTGCTCGTTCACAGGTAACTTTAGGCTTTTCTGTGCGGAGGCACTCCAAACTTTTGTACATTATATTCATACACATCTGTAGGTAATTTAATTGCGAACACAATGATACCAAAATAAGCAATGTTGCATAAGAATTAAGGTGAGAAAAATGGAACGAGTATGCACATTTTACTGATTTTGTGCGCTCACGGGTAACTTTTGCCGACTTTAGGCTTTGCTGTTGGGAGCCACGCCAGGCTTTTGGACATTATATATATACACACCTGTAGGGAATTTAATTGCGAATACAATGATATGAAAACAAACGACGTAGCGCGAGAATTAAGGTGAGAAAGCTGAAACGAGTAATTACCTAAGTGCAGTTACAGGATGAGAGCTACGCTTGTGGTGTCCCGTCTTCCCAGCACTCTTTGTCATATAATGCTTTGAAATTACTGACGGTTTTGGCCTCCACCACCTTCTCCCCTAACTTGTTCCAACCGTCTACCACTCTGTTTACAAAAGTGAATTTTCGTATATTTCTCCGGCAGCTTTGTTTCGTTAGTTTAAATCTATGACCTCTTGTTCTTAAAGTTCCGGGTCTCAGGAATTCTTCCCTAT